CTCCTACCCGAACGGTCTACGAAGAAGGAGATCAATTTTTTGACATCTTTAGAATGGCCTCAAATTTTGCATGTGAGTTAGTATGCCCACTCCCACACAGAATCCAAAAATTTAAGGTATTTCGATACGAAGAGCACGTTGCGTCACGTCCGGTCAGCATTTAAAGTGTTTGGACCGAAAAATTATAGAAAATTCATAAAATTGCAAAAGGCCACGAAACTTGTCATGCATCCTATTTATGATGGTACAAGACTATGGAAAAAAATTGGGTTCATTTGGAGGATGTCGAAAAATATCTCGTTTTCGGACAGGGCCTTTTCTCCTATCCGAACGGTCTACGGAAAAGGAGGTCAATTTTTTAACATCTTCAGAATGGCCTGAAATTTTGCATGCGAGTTAGTATGCCCACTCCCACACAGAATAGCACACCCACACAGAATAACCATACGCAATTTGAAGGATGTAACTAAATTCTCCGTCGGGATGTACAAAAAAAATCTTTAAGCGCGGATAGTCATACCTTACAACACTTATACAGGTCATGCTATATCAGTCCACAATAATTGTGAAGTGACATAGCAGAACGTACATAAGCATAATGAGGTATGGCCACCACGACTAAAGGTTTGATGTTGTAGACGGATGAACATATTTAAACACGTTATTAGCCGTGAGAACTAGCAACGTGGGACTAAAAACACAACACTGCGGGCGGTTGGCGCCACTAGAGGCGCACACACGGCCGGCCGCCACCTCTTCGCCCATGCGCACCGTGGGTCGCTTGCCTAGCCCAACAGTTTGCGCCGCGCGCGCCGGCTGTTAAAAAAATCATTGCATATTTTGTATTTTTCATGCACTAATTTATATTTTGTATTCAACATGGCCGAAACGCACCCAACTTTTGCATGCGCGTGTGAGTGACTCCCACGATCTCGCACGTCAGATTACGATGGAATCGGAGTACGAACGGAAGTTGTGTCACGTCGGGAGACGTTTTCTGGATATTTTCACGGAGAAAATCGTAGTAAATGCATAGAGTGTCGAAACGCATCCAAATTTTGCATGCGTGCTTGTGTGCCATACTGTAGCGTGTGAAAAAAATCCCGACGTTTCATGGCTTTGCGAAAGGGAACACCTACTGAATGCATGTCACACACCAAAACGACACCCCAGATTTGTACTGTGAGTATGTGCCAACATGGACGAAACGCACCAAACTTTTGCGTGCGCCTATCAGTGACCCCCACGGTCTCGCACGTCAGATTACGACGGAATCGGAGTACGAACGGAAGTTACATCACGTCGGGAGACCTTTTCTGGATATTTCCTCGGAGAAAAACATAGAAAATGCATCGACTGTCGAAACACATCCCAATTTTGCACGCGTACTTCCGTGCCATCATATTGCGTGTCAAAAAAACATGGCGGCGTTTCATGGAAAAGTAAAAAAAACTAAAAACAAAAATATAAAAAGTCCCATATTGCGGACGGACTCACTTACGAAGATTTATGTGAATTATTACTGTGACACTCCATGATTATGGAGTGCCAGAGCATAATTTACGTTAACCTCTTTAAGTGATACTGCCACACTAGAGGACTTGACATTGTAAGCAGACTATGGTATTTAAACAGGTGAATTAGCATGACGAGAAGCAATGTGGGACTAAACATTAGCATGTTCGGCGGTGGCAGGCGTCGCTATAGGTTGGGCGCTATAGGTTCGGCGGTATCGGGCCTGGGCCGAGTCGGCGAACGAATTATTTTTTCCTTTTTCATCGCCGTATACCGCCACGCATGGCGGAACCCTATCCACACCACTCGCCCCCGTACGCCGCCCCGTGCCCCCAGTCGCCCTACCACGATCGCCCTCAGGCACGCAACGACCTCGCCGCACGTGCTGCGCCGTCCATTGCTGTCCACAGTCAACGGCGCTTGTTGGCACAGACTGCCCCACGCCCGCAGGCGCAGATCGCCGATGCTGGGCTGCCTGCTTTCGGCTCCGCCATAGCCGTTGTTCGGCGGATGTCGCCCGGATTAAGGTCATGTTTCCCGCCTCGAACAATTTCTGTCGATGCTATTGCGTAATCATATGTATTAATAGGAAAATATTAACATGCAGTATGGACATCGATGGTGTGATTCCATGTTCTATAGAGAAGTGGATAAGTCTCGTTGAAAAATTTACCACCGCTCAGCGATTTAGGTTCTACGAAACAGGCGTGGAAGAGATGTTGATCATTCCGTGTAACATCCCAAATTTTCAATTTAGAATGTTATTCTTTAGATCATCTATGCATATCATATTTTATTTTGCATTTTGGTTGATCCTAGAAATTTCTACGCAACTCAAGGACCCACAGAGAGAGTTGGGAAATTCTTTATTTTCATATTTGAGTTTTCTTAAATTTTGAGAATAGGATCATTTGATTTAATTATTTTATCATCAATTATTTCTATTACAAAAATATGAGAGAGGGAATAAAATGACTTTCCCAAAATAAAGAAATATTAAGGATTTAGTAAAAAATCAAATAAGATTTTTATTTTGGAGTTTTTCGTTATTTT